CCCTTACGCACCTTCCACTGCTAGACTTGGGCATGGCCTTTCTCATCACTCACTTCCATCAAACCATTCGTATGAAGCTTTCCCGATTTTCTGGGTTGCACTAAGAATGATTGGTTGAAATCTTTCTTAACTTGTATATTCTAATAAGATGCTGGCATTACATAAAAATACCATATTAGTGTTTCCTTACCAACGTTTTATTTTCTTTATTGTTAAGTAGCTTTCGAAATTATAGTTAAGTAGCTCAAGGATCAATAACCGATCTGTAACGCGGTAGTAGAATTCTTTACTTTACAGTAGCCGCTTCATCAGATCTGACGTAATAATCAAAAGCCGTTTATCTAATAAATTAAAATGTCAGTAAAAGACCTGAATTATTTATTATATTTAACACTTTTTGAAGACAAAAGTGACAATTTTTTCCCACTTACAGTAAATCCGCAGCATTTCCAGATTTAGAGTTAGGATGATAAGCGCTAGAGTTGTCAATGTCATATTTAGCTTTTAATTAGGGAAGTATTTAAATTTGAATTTTTCATTGGTTATATTTTTATAATTGTATTTGATATAATTTTTTTAAACAATCAAGTTTTATCAGTATCTTCTTAATGCCAATGTTTGAGCCAGGCAAAAACAAAACTCTATTGTACTGTACGTTCTGTTACAATGAAAACAGTTTTATTTAATTCCGAAAATTTTTATATATTAATATTCCGTCGTACAAAATGTCGTTTTGAGTTCGTCATAGTTGGAAATGTCGAGATGATATTGACAATTGTTTAAAACAACCAATTGCAATGCACCGTAATTTGATATTTTTGTTTGATTTTTTTTCTTCAATTGGTTGTGAGATCATTGTTTACAGCTCATTCGACGTTTTCAGTTTCAAAATAACGATTTTCAAAAACATTATTGAAGATTTTTTTATCCAGTTCCATTGAGTAATTTATTTCGTTGTTCTTCAGTTTTATTCCCAGTGAAACATGTTATTTCATTGCAGCAAGATTTGCTTCATTGCTAATACAATTTACGTAGACTGGACTACTGTATGTTTGTTAACGCCCTGTTGACAATGTCCTCATTAAATTAAATTAATATTAAATTAAAACTTTTTTTTTCATATTTTCTCAATTTTTTGACACATAATATTGGACTTGAAATATGTTTTTAAGAATATTACACAAGAGTAAAATATATTCCTGTATTCGAATTTTCGTTGAAACATTTGCAGCCATTCTTAAAAAAATATTTTGAACGTTTCTGAAAATGCGCATTTTTTAGTTCATTTTGAAACAGAAGTTTTGTGTTTTCGAGAAACTTCATAAGGAACCATTTGAAGCAATTTTGATTAAAAATGCAATAATATGTAGAAAATATCCTTAAATGTAAATATTAATGTCGTCAGATACATTTCAAAAAATTACTCTTGTGCAGTTTTGAAATTTCAAAAGAATACATCAAAATGAGTTCATGTCATGTAATTAAGTGCATTCAGCATTGACATACACAAAAATTGTATAAACAATTTGGAGCCCTTTTCGAGAAAGTGTCTTCTCAGCCTTTCCGAAAATGCTCAATTTTCACCTCGCTTTCACTCAAAACGTTTGGGTTTTTGAGAAACTTCATAAAAAACCACTTGATCCAGTTATAATCACAAATATAATAATATATAAAACCGCCAATAATGAATAAAAACATCAATAATGTATACAAAACCCCAATAATATAAATATTAACGAAGGAGTAATATATAAAGAAAATTACATTTGTGTAAGTTTTGAAAAATATAAATATTACTTTAAAATGACGTTTACGTCATGTTCTTGAACTCATGTTGCACTATACCTACATAAATTTTTAAGAAAAAAAATTGTAGCAATTTTTGAGAAAATCTTGTTTCTTAAACACATTTCACTCAAAATTACGCAAAACATTTCATGTTTCGAAAAAATATATACTTCTTCATTTTAATATGTAGTTTTAAAGAACAGATTTTATTCAGAGGAAAAATCTCTGCTTTAAATATTGTTTACCACTCTTTTAAACAAGGAGAGAAAATCTCCACCACGGCGTAGGGTAATAATTCAATTTTAAAAAAACACTCATTTCTAGACATGCAAAAAATAGATTATTTGATAAAGGATTTTTACGTTTAAAACGTTCCTTTAAAAATAATGGTCAAATTAAAAAAATTAAAATAAAGTAAATAAAATAAGTGAAATAGAAAATTTGTTGTGTTAATGAATAGTATATGCGTGTACTGTATTACATAAGTGTGTATGCATTTAATGCACCACAAATAGCCGATAAAGTTAAAATAAATGGAATGTGTTCCCTGCCTTCCGGGAGCGCGAGTGGCGGCATGCGATCAGCTGCGGAGGGCGTTTGTTTTGAGTGGGGGCACGCCTCCCTGGGCGCTGCCAGCGGGCGGACAGCTGCCGGGGGCGCGGCGATAAGGCGCAGCTGATTGCTCCTGCTCTTCTCGCGCCCTCCATTCACAAAAATGCAGCTCGGCCTTCGAATCCGCGCTTTCTCCATAACGCCGGCGTACGGGGCGGAATCTACACGCGCTCATTTTGTAATAAACCATTGTGAAGAATTCTAGTGGCGCGTTTTGCCCATAAGTATATTAAATGGAGTTCCCCCCCCCCCGTTTCTCATAGGGACTTTTTTTTGAGATCCCCCTGTGCGAAAAATGTTTTAATGCGTTTATCTCGAATCTTGTATTTGTTGTGTTTGTTCTTCCTTCCCATAACGCCACAAACGCCGAACACACAACTACATAGCCATTAATACAACGCCAGTACACGCAAATACTAGTAATGTGACCTTCACAAATGGCCATTGACCGCTCGTAATCTTACCCCCCCCCCGGGGGCATGAGCCAATGATCACAGCAGTTGATGCCCCCTAAGGGCACTTGCACACGGTCGTTGCGTTGACGCCTGTGAAATACCACGCGTCGTAGAATAACACTATTCCTAAACACGGCTACACACATTTGCGCAAAACGACCAACACACGCTTTGGACATCGCATAAGATTCAGTGTTAATCTACGACGCGCATTACGTATCGTATGTCAAACGCGCGTAAACGCAACGTTCGTGTGACAGGTCTAAAACAGCAGTCAATCAAGATTGGTCAAGATCAAATTTTAAGTTCACTTAGCAACATGCAATACAGATACGGTATTTATACCAACTTAGGAATGTAAAAATTGTGACTTTTTGACTCAATATTTAAACAAAGACCCAATATACTTCAGACTTCTAACAACCCTAAAATAATTTGGGCAAAGTTTTCCCCACATTGTAGCATTTAGAAGCTCTTCTTCGAAGAATCTGTGTTTATTGTTTGGAATTCTAGTCACACAGCCGTGAAAAAGCGAAGTCTCTTCGCATTCCTTCACATCGCTACGAGTTATCGTTATTACAGAGTCCTGCACTACGATAATGACAAAGGGAGCCATCAAATATCCTAGATGGCCATTCCAAAAAAATAACTAGAGACATTTAATAATACTGTGTCCTGTCGTTGAGTCTTCATGTCGAGCAATGTAGCGTATTTGATTATCTCTTGTGGAATGTTCTCGTTCGCACAAGAGAGGGAAATATTGTCTGCACGATGCAAAAAGCAGTTTTAAGATGTTAATTGTATTAGTGTATAGTATTGTAATGTATTAGTGTATATTACAGGAAAAACATTATTTTATAATAATAAAACGAAAATTATTTTTCTTCAGCTACAAACGTAAATGTTAGTTATCAGCTAATAGGGAAATTATTTATAACATTCTCATTTGATTTCAAAATCTTAACTCAACAGCAAAATTTACGATTTTTTCTGGAAATATAAGCTGAAAGTGAAGCTCCATTGAAACAGTACTTGCCTTAGTGAATCTTTTGTACTGATAACTTGAAATAGAATAGAATGTAAGTTATAAAGAAAAATTAATCGAACTGAGTATTCAAGTATTTTTATTTCATTTTCTGTTGCCTAAATGAGTTTATTTAAAAAAAAATCGTTTTGGAACAGCACAATATTCGTCGAAGAGCATGGACCAGCGTATATGCTGCATTTACCTACTAATAATATATGTGTCTCGTTGAGGGCAAGACGCAGATGCGTTTCCCGTTACGCGACGCTGTTCGTCACGCATAAGGCCGCCGTTGCAGCAGATGCACGCTTCGCGGGGCAAGGGCTCGGGTTGCACCTCCCCTCCCCCCACACACACCAGTCCCGCTAGCGCCTTTCACCCGGCGCGCGCACCGCGACGCCCCTGCCACGCCCCTTGGCCTTCGCCCTATGCCTCCAAGCACTTGCACCCCATGCCGTTGCTCCCTTAAGCTTCCACGCCTTACTCTTCCCTCCCCCTATCTCAGCATCCCCTGACACCCTCGTCTCCAGAGGCCTTATACCGCCATGTCGTTTTGCCCTCACGCCCGAACGCTTCCAGCTCTTATATTCCTTTGCCCTTCCCCAGCGTAGCTCTTATGCTCTTAATCCCATATGTTAAGACCTGTGTCCTCATGTTCACACACGTACGCGTCAAAGTCCTTTCATTCCACACCCTTGTGCTTCTAGTCCTTATATTCCTTTGCCCATATGTTTTCATAGTCTTACGCCCGTAAGTCCATATGCAATTAAAACCTATGTTTTTATGTACCACGCCCATGCGCCTTCAAACCCCTTCATTCCACACACACCCTTAGTCTTCCAATCCTTATATTATTTTGCCCTTTAGTTTCCATTGCCTTTACGGTCTTAAGCCCATTAAGCATTAAGACCTATGTCCTGATAGCCATTTTCCCTTACGTCCACATAGCTTTCACGCGCCTAAGCTCACATTTCATTTACTTAATTTTCAAATACTTGACTTATTTGCTACATTTTTGGGCGAAACATCGCACTTTTGAGATTTGTTTATTAATGTATTTTATACGATATTTACGGAATATTTCGTGATTAGTAAGCATATCGACAATTTATGTGTTTCAGGGCATTTTGGAGCGGCTTGCGGAAGGTGTCGTGATTGGAGATGGAGGGTTCGTGTTTGCTTTGGAAAAGCGAGGCTACGTGAAAGCTGGTCCATGGACTCCGGAAGCTACCTGCGAGAATCCGGAAGCTGGTAAGTAAAGCAATAAGCACATGTAGAATGTGAAACTGCAAAGAATACTCATTTTGCTCCAGACTTTTACCACCAACGTGACACTTGCATGCCATTGTAGGTAGCTCGGATGAACATTTTAGTAACGTCATTTTATTGGTACTTTGCGCTAAGATTACCTCGTTGGGATGGCAATGCACGGCACATTTCATTTCTCATAACATAATTATATCCTATCTAAAAGAGAATTTAAGACAGTTATCTATTCTGTTTTCAATTCATTTCGATATTTAAACAATTTACGCAATCACGTAATTAAATATCCGGCTTAATAAGTGAAACGGGTGTGTATTTGTACGAGTACTTTGAACATGTGTATATACGAGTTTATGTATCACAAACACTACAAACTTCTGGAGCATGTAAGAAATGATAACTCTTTGTCAATGATCATGAGGTGGAAAATTTCATAAAACGGAGTTACACATGTGCCCATCTTTGTTAGGCAACACCACATGCCCTGATGCACGCAGGTACTTGAAATCTCCTTGACTGCATCAGAACTTAAATCTGCAGACGTATGTAGGAAAGTGCCTCACAATCAGGAGGGAATGTAATATATGTAACGCCGTTGTATGAGGGAAAGTAATATATGTTTCCCTCTGTTCACTGTCAAAACGTGATCATTTTCAACCTTTCTACTAGAATATACTCCCAAAATTTGGAACACTTATTCTATGACATCTGTATACGAGCATATAAAACAGTCAAACATTGTCACCTTGTTTTTTTTAGTGCGTCAGTTGCACCGAGAGTTCCTTCGAGCTGGTTCAGATGTCATGCAAGCATTCACTTTCTATGCTAGTGACACGAAACTGGAGAACAGAGGAAATGAGGCTGGCCAGAAGTTCACGGTAAGAAACTGTTAAACTAATATTCAACACAACATTAAAATTTAATAAAATTATTATCAAACACGTGACCCAAAACTTATATACTGTCCCAAAACGTAACAAGTAAATTGAAAATATTTAATGGTTGACGGTCTCTTTCTTAGATCTTTGCTGCCACATGACGTCATCTGTGCCATAGACAGAGACGCACTAAGAATGAGAATTTAGTCGGTACGATCTGTATTAGAATATGAACAATAACACAATCAATAGTATTCAGCGTTCTTTCTGAGTTGCTGAATGTGTAACAAAACTATGGACACCTTTCGCCTGGGGTGCTGGGATAGCTATCTTTCAATTTGCGCGCCAACTGGAATTGAGTAACGTTTACAAAAAGCTCTTTTGACATGTTCTTGTTTCTACAACAGCAATTAAAAGCCAAATGAACAATAACAAATGAAAAAGAAAGTATTCTATTATTAAAAATATATACATAATGTTACTGCCAGAAGAGAACGTAAGGAGCAGAACTGTTATTTATAAAGGGTATAATGTGACAGAATAATATACTATTAACTGAGTAAGTGGCTTAAGTGCCTCAGGGCGTCAATTTATGTCCTGAACAGTACCCTAACAAACGGGACACGGACCTCGAACGATCTTTCCTTTCTCTTCCTTGTCCCTACTTACACAGGCTTTCATTAACATGCTCTACACTACCACACATGCCGGGAGATCGGTCGGGAGCTTAGAGCTTGTCCCGCCTGTGGAGGTGTCTCGCTGGTGGGAGATACCTGGTTGGGGGAAACCCCGCTAGACGACGGGTGGGTCGGCGCCGGTTTCTCCATCCAGCGAGGAAGATCACCACCACCGCCACCTCCCGCTATAAAAACATGCACTGTACATTCGGGACTACATACCTTAGCAGTTGACGCGCCTGGAACCACCAATAAATCAGCCAATTAATTAAGCGAGGACCGTGTGTTGCGCGCAGGGCAAGAACATCAACAAGGCGGCGTGCGACCTGGCCAAGGAGGTGGCGGCCGAGGGCGACGCGCTGGTGGCGGGCGGCCTCAGCCAGACGCCCACCTACCTCAGCGCCTCCAGCAAGAGCGACGTGCAGAAGGACTTCCGCAACCAGATCAAAGTCTTCGTCGAGAACAAGCTCGACTTCCTCATTTGCGAGGTACGACCACCTTCAAAACGACCGTTGGAGATGGCAATTCAAAAGTTATTAAAGCCCTTAGGCCGAAAACGCGCAAATAACAGACGCGTATCTAAATCGAGGAGAAAGTTGAGGTTTACAACCAAGGCTGTTATTTGTGGTATAGCTGGTGTGTCGTTAAATAATTTTCGTAATACCGTTTTCTTCTAAAAAAAAATCAAGTAAACGCCCTTTTTTGGAATACGATACTAATACGACATATTTACCTTCAAGTTATTTGAATCGATAATACTTAACGGATCGCAGATTGTAAAATCCGTCGTCAATATTGCAATATATTATAGGCTCTATTACGGTATTCAGTAAACACGGTGAAAAATATACTGCTAAATCGATATATCTGTCGATATGAGTACTGTAATACTTACACCTCGTTGACGCGGTAGAAGGCGAAAGTGAAAAAAATCGAATTATTGACTTAAGGTTTGCTAATTTCAATGTCCTTAATATAGCATCATGCGAAAGTCTGCAAACTGAAAACCAATGTGGGTCGCATGACATCAATGGTGCATTGAAGTTAATGCATATTAAAAGATTAAATTGTAATGACTTTCTTTATTTGAAATTGAATTTAGTTCAGTTATTGAATCTTTTCTGAAACTGGTCAATGTTTTGAAATATTTCAATAATCTAAACAGCTTTTTGGTTCCAAAACATCGATATACTGAAAGAAATGTTATATAAAATATTGCCATCTTTAAGAGTCATAGAATTATCATTGACCTCTACTGAAATCATTTTGCACACTTTGTTTCGAAAAATAGAAGAAATTAATAGAGTTGATATTTTTTCAGTACTTCGAGCACGTGGAGGAAATTGAGATAGCGATAGGAGTGTGTAAGGAAACTGGGAAGCCCATTGCTGCGACTATGTGCATTGGGCCCGAAGGCGATTTGCACGGAGTATCTGCGGGTGACTGCGCAGTACGAATGGTCAAAGCAGGAGCCAACATTGGTAAGATATTCCTAGATGGAAAATTACAACTAGCAAGAAGTGGTAAAAACTCCTTTATGGTGGACCCTCTCTTTGCGTTTTGTATTCACCGACTTCCAGAAATCATTCAGAAATCAGAAATATTAGAAATAGATTCTCAAATCGAATTCAGAACGGTTTTAGATAGACCCTGAAGGGTCCACCTGGTGGAATTTTAGGCTGTTTGCGATTGTTGTTGCGTCCCATGGAGGAATCCGATTTAGTTCCTCTGATATAAGGTACACTTGTTTAGATACCCTGCGTTTTCAGCCAGGCGAGAATTAGGTGATATTATTTTATTTCTTGTCCCGAGCCGCCATGCAAAATCAATTTAAGAAACCCTACTCTTTGCCGTATTTTCCAAATTAAATTTCTATTACCAAGTAACCTCCTACCCTCTCTGAAACTACGAGACAGAACTACGCGCCGCAAAACCTACGGAATTATTCCGACATATTTCGTTCCAATTTCACTGCATTTTACTTCGACTAGATCATTTTTTAATTACTTTAATACCTATGGAAATTATATTTTCATAAAAACTAGCAGCATTTCCTTGGAACTATACGTAATAATACGCTAGAAAAATATTTCTCTCTTATTCGAGTCGCTCAAAATGAATGATACATTTGTGTGGACTCAGGAAATTATATTACTGGTATTTCTATTTCAAATAGTTGGAGTGAACTGCCACTTTGACCCCTTCACTTCCCTGAAGACGATCAAGTTGATGAAGGAGGGCTTGGAGAAGGCTGGATTGAAGGCGTATTTGATGTGCCAGCCACTCGCCTATCACACCCCGGATGCTGGGAAACAAGGATTCATAGATTTACCCGAATTTCCATTCGGTAAATAACTAGTGCATTATTTTGACTTCTTTTGACGAGATACTTCTGTTAAGGTGAATAAACCCGAAATGTGTTTTTCTTTCCGTGGCAGGTCTTGAGCCCCGCGTCACTACAAGATGGGATATTCAGCGCTTTGCTCGCGAGGCGTACGAACTGGGAGTGCGTTATATTGGAGGTTGTTGCGGATTCGAGCCCTATCACATCAGGTGAGCGCAGTAAACATCCATTGAAGTAAAAAAACAACATTGTACTGAATAAAAAGGAAATAAAAAGAAAGTGATATTTCCATAGTCAACGTTGAACAGTTGATATGAAATTAAAGATTAACAATATAGAAGAATTAGTCTAAGAAGGGAGCAGTGTGAGAGGTCAGGACACAAATTAACGTCGTATACGGTGAAGGCATTGCAAGAGACAGGGGTGAAGTACCTGTAAACGAAGGTATAAATGAATTGCGTGTAAGAACATAACCTGCAGTTATGTTGCCAGCTGTCAAAGCGGTCCCTTCTTATTGTACGTATAAAAGGTCACAGGGAATACTTGTAAATCCAGTCAGCTCACTGCTGCAGCAGTCTTTTATTTGTAGACATTTGAATATCTTTAGTTGATTTTTAGCACCGCCAACTAGCCCGGCATGTGAATTACCATCTGTCGCTTTTTTCAGGGCCATTTCCGAGGAGCTGGAGAAAGAGCGCGGCAGGAAGGCGGTGGCCACGTCCAAGCACGACGCCTGGGGCGGCGGCCTCGTCATGCACACCAAACCTTGGGTGCGAGCCAGGTAAGTTTGCGCCACATTTCTTCTTCTTCTCCTCTCACCGAGAGAGGGCGTCAACTGATGTCACTGCAGTGCTTTTATAAAATCATCGATTTTTTGAAGACGATTTTTTAACGTCCGTAATTGATATTTTAATTTTTAATTACAAAATATCATTATAATAAAAAACTTTAATAATTTTCTGAAATTCATAAATTGAGGATTTTTTTCAGACCAATGAGATTGAGAGTGAGAATTACCAAAATAGATTTTTCAATTTTGATAAATGAAATCTATAAAGTTTTTTAATTATCCAATTAATTTTGTTAATTGCCCTAGTCAGTTTCCAGTGTTTTGTCAATTACATCTGAAATAAAAATGATGAATATAGAATTTTTGATATGATGTTTTATTAACCTCGATGTTTTAATTTTGAACCTCGATGTTTTGTTGGCGATGTCGTATCCCTAACGTCATCCAGACTTCTTTACCCATGGTGAACGCTCCCGACGGTCCGGGTGACGCCGCGTCGAGGGCACTGATGCCGTCATTTCGACCATTGAGAGCATTTCGAGGATAGACGTGCGCCAGGATGGTGGGTGTGCGCCAGGGTCTGGGGCTGTGTCGGGCTCAGGGTTTGGTTGGTTTGTCTCACCGAGCGGTCCGACTCATTTGGCCGTTGGGCCCCCCTGGTTGATTGGCTAACTAGTCAACCAAATCCTGAGCCCGACACAACCACAGAGTAGAATAACCCGATCGCCTACCATCGTGGCTCACCTCTGCCCTGAAGAAGACCACGATATGATGGTCGAAAGGACGGCATCAATGCCCTCAACGCGGCGTCACTCGGGCAGGCGAGAGCCTTCACATGACACTGGCCTCGGAAGGCTACGGTTGCATTCTATGCAGGGTGACCGTTTAAAAATGCTCCACAGTTGTAACAAAAGCTTTAAGATGCTTCATATTGGGTTTATTTCTTGTGTTGCAGGGCACGAAGAGATTTCTGGGAGAATCTGCAACCGGCATCAGGTCGTCCGTTCAGCGCTGCTCTGTCGAAGCCTGACGACTGGGGCGTGACCGCCGGCAGCGACATTCTTAAGCAGCAGGCTGCTGCAACCACCAAAGAAGAAATCCAGAAACTTGTCAATTTCAAAAAGTGAAAACTCCTTTGTATGTTGAAGCTAAACTTATTTTTGTGAGCATCTTATTTGAGCATAAAAATATGCAAAGAATGGTTTGTGCAACGAGAGAATTTGTTTGTTAATTGAAAATACACGAATGAATGACGAATGAAATGTATAAATGTTTTAAAACCAGCTTCACTGATAAATTTTCCACTTGTATTTTTCATTTTTGTACTTTGATATTTTCGAAATAAATATGTCTTGATCAATTTGTTTTCTGGTGATTTCGAAGTTTTAACCCTTTTATCCTCACACACATTGCACATTAGCAAAATTCTATCTTTTTTCTTTATTAGTCGCAGTTAAACCTAGAACAACTAAATATCTATTTTAATTATGAAAAATTCTTTAGAACTGAACATTTTATTAAGGAAAACTTATTTTTCTTAGCTATTAAGTCTATAATTTTCGAGGTCATGTAATAAGAAATTTAAAGTGACTTTTCTACTGAATAGGATTACGGGCCCATGCAAACATTCCACACTTGGTAAATCACTTTACTATAATTGGAAATTACTATCAAATTACTACCGTTTGACAGTCGAGGGAGTCAGTTACCCTGATCACTGATCAATAATCTGTCCCAGTTATTGGAGCTAATGAAAATGTTTACCATGGTCAAATAAATAATAAACGTAAGTGATATTAATTCTATCTTCTTGTCAGAATTCAGTTTATATGCAGTTGAAAGTGCAGATCAGGCACAGTGCAGTAAAAGTACTGATCTATTTATGTTCTGTAAAAATAATTTTTTTTTAAATATGCACTTTTGTCGACATTACAACAGCCCATTTCAATTATGACGATTTTTACACTTAATTTAATTTTAATTTTAGTTACAAATATAATATTAGAAATAATAGTTATGTTACGGTATAGTACAATGCGTGATCCTTTTTTGTTGCATTCATTATTGTATTATCCAGGACGGAATTTAAGAAGTATTCAAATTTTCTCACTCATTTGGAATAATGATTCTTCTTTAAATGTTGCTGTTTGCATAATACATTTAATTAATAAAAAATTCAATATCTATGAACACTAGCTAGAGTAAATTGTATTTCTATTGGTGTTGTTCTATCAAAGTGAGTTAGACAAAGAAGGGACGTGACATTTTTATTAACTTTAATATCCTAGGCAGCCCTTAATCTTTTGTTACATGTTCTTTGGATGTAACCATCGGGAAGTTTTTCCGTTCTGGGTACTTATGTTTGTGGTAAATGGACACATCTGTAGTTTAGAACTAAATGTTTGTTAAGCGTCTGAGAAATTCAAAAGGTGACGTGTAAGTGGCATTCAGGAAAGAAGTCGTGAAGGAATGAAGCTCTCATCTTAAGTTAGACATTGGGTTCGAAGGAGAATAATAAATATAGGAGAAGAAATTATGCGCTTGTTGAACTAGTACATGCTCTGTTAAGTATTTTTGTATGTGAATATCCGTATGGAATTGGGAGTTGAGAACATACTACCATGATGCACCCACTGCTAGTTTAATGAATCGGATTTGCAGAATTTAGTTTATAAAAATAAGGCAGAAAACAAAAGTTTTGATAATATCGTTCTTAATCCTATTCTCTGCATTGGGCAGGCGTAAGTGATGTAAGTAATGTCTAACCAGATTCTTCCATTGTAGAATTTATACAATTAGTTTATAATGTTAAGCTGTATTGCGTGAGTAAATATTTTGAAATTCGTACGAATGCAATAAAGCAACATTAAAACCCAGTTGCATACGCTATTTTTTGTGTGTCATTATTATAAATTTATAAAATATTAAAATATTAAAAGGCGAATGCTGGGATGGTTCAAAAAGTCCACGATTACCTTTCGCTAATATCCTATCATCTCCTAATCCAGTAATAATAATAATAATAATAATAATAATAATAATAATAATAATAATAATAATAATAATTCACAGCGGGGACGAAGTTGCGTGGTCTACCGCACGTGTCCCCTGGGTAACGTTAAATGAGCAACAGTGATTCGCCACCTACGCTCTTAACCATTGTGGGTGTGCGGATCCCTACAAGTTCAGGGGAAGGTCTGCGCGTCTATACTGGTCGGCGCGTCACCAAATGCCAAACATGCCAAGGGTGGGCGTTGGCTAACAAACAAGCAAACAAAAACATGATGTCACGGGTATTTGACATCTGCGCGAGAAAAATGGTCGGTTGTGTCGTTTACCGTTCCTTCCCCACAATTCTCTAGGTGCGATTGGATGGATGTGTGATGACGCAATTATTCGTGCTGTAACGGCAAATACGTCATAATCTGTGTCGTAAGAAGCCGTTCGATAAATGCTTTTTAGTAATGAAAAAGGTCGCTTATAATGCTAGAATACAAAAAAGTATTTTGAAGAGAGTTGAAAGAGGGGGACTATGTAAATGGTTGGAGAGTAACAAATATTTGTTTTGCTGTTCAAACCCAAAATGTTATATGTGGAGTTCATGAAAGTCTCTCTATACATACTTGTACTCCGAGGTATTTGAATGTTTAATGAAAAGGTAAAGGAAGGTTTAGTTATTAATTGAATGTCACCCACGGGTGACATTTTTAGTGATGTTTGATGAGTAAAAACTTTCTGTTTCTGCAGAAAATTATTTCTATTATATGGTGATAGAAGAAACTTTCTTCTTATTAGTTTTTTATTTGTTTCGGTGTAGTGTAAAATCCAATACTAAACACTTTGTCAGGCCTACTTTCTTGCACTGCCCCTCACTTCAAATTCACTTTATATACCAAACTATGTTAATGTGGTTGACCTTTCATTCCATTGTGTAACTTATCTGAATCATCACCTCGCTCATCATGATCATCACCATCATCCTCGAACTTTTTCATGTCTACTTTCATTTATCCGTTATATCCCCAAACGCTAGGGAAACTTGACACTTACCTCGCTCCATACCTCCGCTCTGGACCGTAAGTCCATTGCGGTACGAACCTGAGTCCTGCCGCTGTGCCTAGTAAGCCGTGACGGTGCTTGAACTTTCTTGCGGGTAGGGAGATTTTCTGGCGTGAGGTACCACCCCAACGGAGGTTACTCCAGTGTCAGTCACAATAATATACATGTTTATAAACGTCATGTTTATATATATATATATATATATATATATATATATATATATATATATCGGGGTGGTACAAAAGGAATACGAATAGTGCCTCGTTTTGCATAGTGACGCAACAGCAGTCGTGTAAATTCCGTGGCGCGGCCGCATTGTTTTGAAGGAAAATTGCAGTGAATTATATGCTTTTGTCTGCAACAGTGAACTCAAGCGATCGTTGAAATGTGTGATCTGTGTGATCAGACTTTGAAGGAGGGCTTGTAGGATGGTACGCGGTTAGCAGGATCATCTGGGACTAAAACAGTTGAACTGTTTGTTTCGCGAGCGACAGGACCCACAGTAATGACGGAATACACAAAACGTGGTTAAACATGAGGGAAGAGGAATAGCGGGCAAAAGTCGAAGTTAACTGACAGATATGTTTATACAGTGGGACTCTGCAATTATCTCATTAATTATTATTCAGTTATGCGGCTCCTTATTATTCCCCCTTCTTGTTCACTCCATCATCCATGCACTGGAGGGTTACGGCACACTATCATTGTGACCCTCAGCCAGAAAAGGGCAGGTCAGCAAGACACAACTCTTTCACCTTGCTTCCATCCAACGTTTGGGTTGTATGCAATCGCATATTAAGCCCGAAGGTTGTTTGCGTACAACGCAAAGATTGTATGCTACGAACCATCAGACTTAAGAAAGACCGAGTTAGGAAAGTCCGAACCATCGGGCTTATTTATATCACTATTATTTAATCTTCTATCTGCGAAACTATGCTATTTAGAATATTCATATTACTTCTGAATTTGGCTTTAAGAAAACGTGATTTTTTCAACAAAAGGTTAGTTAATATGGCAAAATAACACTTCAACAGCATACAGTTATCATTCAGTTTTGCAAGATATACACAAATATGATACTTAAGTACTATTCAATACTCTTCTGTAAAGTCCTTCAAGAAAAGATATTCCTTTGGGCAGCAATAATACTTGCCAATCTTATGCATTTATACGCATATTGCATTTATATAATCTATACACTGACACTTGCTATCACTGTTTTCCACCACTTTGAAACTGAGTTCCTTAATTCTCCATCAAGGAGAGTACAGTTTTGTCTTTAATACACACAGATGGAATTTCCATCTTTTGGCAAGACGTCAATGGTAATTTGCATTGCAATGTGCATTAGAAGAGTCGAGAAGAATGCGGGACAGAGCTGTAAAACAATTGGACAATGAAAACAAGCCATAACAGATTATATAGAGAACAAAGAAGTGTTTAAGAAAATAAGTATTTTTGGGTAAACCTTGAGCTGAATGTAAAGTTTATATCAAAGTTTTTTCCAAAACTTCATATTACGCTAAGCTCTTTCAAATACGACTGCTCTACTCACCTTCAACATTGTTTCTGTTATGGACGTTGCAATGCACAATTGTAAATATGAGCAAACGATTGCGAATAATACAAAGTACAAACTGCAGCATTATTCTCGTATGTCATTTCAGCCACTTTGAATTCAGGATTAATGGCAACCTGTAATTGCATATTATTATTTAATTATTGTGCCGTTTTAACTTCCAACATATTTGCGTAATGCATTTATGTTCCCTTACCTTAAACGTGTACATGCCAGGATCTAGATCAGAGATATCAACCCACTGGCAGTCAATAGTGTGTCGATAAATATCCGAACAGTTGACTGATATCCCCTGATCTCCAAAATTAGCACACGCGAACGTCGGCTTCACCCCCGGTAAGCACTGGTTGTCCTCCAGACAGAACGAAGCCTTGTGGCCCTCTGCAACTTTCTTGCCTTTGGAGTCCATGATATCAAACGTGGCAAATACCTCCATACTGTGATAGTGCCTGCAAAATGGTGCATATACAAAATATTAAGTTTAGGGCAAAATAACGTAAATTGCAGAAACCAGGAATTCATATGAGGTCATTCCATGTTAAAAACACGCTGGTCATTTAAAGAAGAATGAGAATACTGTGACGGTCCATGAGACTTAGATTGGCAAGTGTAAAATATAGTGGTCAGGGAGAGCTCGAAGTTAGCATAATCTATTGACGGATTGGGAACTTGGAGATATTTATTTATTTTATTCGCCAGACTGACAAACGAGCTAAAATTAATCGTGACGGTATAAATAAATATCCGAGAAAGATAAAGGGGCAAATAAAACAAACGGATTAAGTGTAGGAAATCACTGAAATGAAATTATAATTTTTATTTTCATCGTGAGACAAGTGAATGGGATGAGAATGATGTGAGGGCAGAATTTTGAAAAAAATGAATGCAAAGGGACATTTTGAACATTTGTTAACTATGGGAATTGGTATCATTTCACTACTTTGCAGCCTTCAATCAAATTATTGAATAACAAAACTGTGTTCATTGTGTTTAGTTGTTTTCAGTTGTTTAACGTCGTTCATCATAACGTTTTACTTTCAAAATTACCTTCGTATGGAATTCGTGGTATTGCTCTAGATTGGTTATGTTCATACATTAAGAAGACCTCAGAGAGTAGAAATACTTTACTGGAATAATGGAACATTATGTACACACCTTTCCCATTCTTTGCCAATTGCAAGAAAACGGTTTCAATGCAGTTTTCCATTTCAAAAAGCAGATCTGTACTCCATTGTAAATGAACGGTGTGCCATTGACTGATGTTAATGTAACAAAATTGTTAGGTCTTTCAACTGAGTCCAACCTTACATGGAACGTCCATTTAAATAAATTATCCACTAATTTAAGTTCTTAATGCTGCGCTTTCAGAATTCTTTCGAATTAGTCAGCCTTCATACTCCTCATTGTGTATATTTCGCGAATGTTCATTCCCGCCTGAGATATAATATTCTGGGCATAATATTCTGGCAAAATATATCTTATAGATCGCAGACTTTTATATTACAAACACAAAGTGCACGAATAAGAAGCAAATCCCACCCACGTGATTCTTGTAAGCCTGTCTTTATTAATCTAGGTATTTTACCATCACCATGTCTCTTCATACATGAATAGTGGCTTTTGTCGAAAATGTCTTACTCAAGATCGGAACTATATATTTGCAGCCAATGCGGATGTCTATTACTACAACACTCGACGTAGTAATCATATTTATCAGGCGTCAGTATCAACAGATCACTACAAAAAATTCACATACAATACATATACATTATTTTACAACACCTTGCCAGATGACATTAAACGATTAAATTCGATACAAAAGTTTGAATTCCAAGTGAAATATTTCCTACTGCATAACTGATTTTATGCAATTAGAGACTACACAGCATCCAAATGAAAAGTAATATTAATCTTAACAATGGCATTTACATAATCTATTATTTACCATCTGGATTGTATGATTCTAAAGAATCTGAAACAAGTAATGTACTTAAGCTTCTGGTCAATGCCTCCATCTAGATCAGGTTTTCGTCGTCTCCATGAATCTTGAGCAAATGCTGAGATGGCCCCTTGTTTTGCTTTTGGACATAAATGTCCCTTCAAATTAACTTCTCCCCACAGCATGTCACACAAGTGTTTTTGACGTAAATAAATACATTTTAATTCATGACAAAAAAATCTACCATGCACGCCAGAAAAAGTAGTCTCTTTTTGGCGAAATTCCATGTTACGTATAGACTGAAAAACCAAAAGAACTGGTGCAACTTCCTAATATCACAACACGACGTGGCATGAACTTGACTAATGCCTAAAGTAGTGCTGGAGAGAATTGACACTATGAATCCTGCAGGTCTGTCCCTAAACTCGTAAGAGTACAAGGAGATCTCTATTGCACAGCATGAACAGCAAGGCATCCCAGATAAGCTCAATAATGTTCATATCTGGGTATTTTAGTGGCCATTGGAAGTGTTTAAATTCAGAAGAGTGTTCCTGGAGTCAATTTGTAGCAATTATGGATGTCGCATTGTCCAGCTGGAATTACCCAAGTCCATCGGGATGCGCAATGCACATGTATGGGTGCAGGTGATCAGACGGGATGCTTACGTACGTGTCACCTGTCAGAGTAGTATCAAGACGTATCAAGGGTTCCATATCACTCAAACTACATACGTCCCAAACCATCACAGAGACTCCACCATCTTAAACAGTCCCCTGTTGTCATGCAGGATCCATGGATTCATGAGGTTGTCGACATACTCGTACACGTCCATCCATTCGAAACGATGTGAATCAAGACTCTTCAGACCAGACGTGTTTCCAGTTATAAAGAGTTCAATGTCGGGGTTGAAAGGACCAAGCGAGGCGTAAAGCTTTGTCTTGTGCAGTCATCAAAGGCTCGAAACCCCATATCGGCTACGAAACTCAATATCGATAATGCCTCGAGTAATGGTTCGCACACTGATACTTGTTGATGGCCCAGCATTGAAATCTGCAGCAATTGGCGGAATGGTTACACTTATGTCACGTGTAATGATTCTCTTCAGACGTCTTCGGTCCCGTTCTTGCACAATCTTTCACAATCAGTGCAAGGTTTGATGTTTTACCGGATTCCCGATATTCACGGTACACTCATGAAATGGTCGTACAGGAAAATCCAAATTTCATCACGACCTCCGAAATGCAATGCGCCATCTCTCTTGTGCGAACTATAACACCACCTTCAAAGTTACTTAAACCGTGATAACGTGCCATTGTAGCAGCACTAACCCATCTAACTAGTCCCAGACTCTCGTTGTTTTATATATTCGTTGCCGATGGGAGCGCTGTATTCTTATTGGTACCAGATCTCTTTATTATTAATACGCACGGCTGTACCAGTTTTTTGGCTCTTCAGTGTATATCTTAAACGAAGTTGTGGGGTGAACTTTTTATCTGAATTCAGATTATTTGCTAATTGACACAGTTTTTAATTTTCCAGCCTTCAACGTAATAGCTGAACGGCTTGTGTACACAATATCTTGATATTTCAAAATTGAAGCAAAAGTCTTATAGTTAACAAATATTCGAAAGTACTAAAAAGTAATTCGTAAATTTGATCTCTCCTGCTCTTATGCTAAACCCACAAAGACACATTTCAAATTCTGAGGAGAATGGGTAACAAAACACGACAATAAAAAACATTAATCAAAATCAATTCACAAGAACATTTGAATAGTAGTTTTAAGTCGAGAAAAATTGTATTATAAAGCAAGACCAATTTCAACCTCAAAATATGATACTTACATATGACACTGATGAAATTCCCACATATGTTTGGGAATCATAGGTCTAAATTCAGCTGTTCCTGAATTAAGAATTCGAGCTGTAAATCGTAATAGACGCCTTGTTTCCAAATGCCAGTTTCCGGGATTTTCTTTTTGAATCCTATAGGCAGCTGAAGCCAAACAATTTTCTTCCATTGCACATTGCAGGAAGTACAAGGGCCTGTCTTCCAGATGAGCTGTACGCATGATTTCCAGATGATCAATGACTAAATCTGCCATAGCTGAAAATCACCAAAAGTACGAAATATTAGTAGGTAGATGAAGATGTCTCTGCATGTTTCATATCAATGTAATAACATTCCAAATACAACTGATATTAACAGCAAGTTTTAACAGCATAAGATCTGTTACAGAATAAAAGCGAAAAGTTAAATCCATACATCAATTGTTCGATCAGCATGTGATTATTGACAGAATTTGTTTGATTACTTCATTGAAATTAAATACTGTACGTGCACGTGTATGTATAAACGTGTCTGTTTTTCACATTTTGCACCTTTCGGTGCATTCATACAAGCGTCCCTTGCTTAGACTTGTACATGCCCTTGTACAACCCTTGTACGCGTGTCCCCTATTAGACTTACTACTCCAGGCCCTGTGGTGCGTACCACATTACCCGTTCATTGCAGCCCGATAGCCTGTGCCAGCGAATGTATCTACTGTGTGTTGGACGCGTTGCTTGTGAGCAGTCTCATAGCGGACTACTCAGTTTTGCTTACGGGAGCGCCAGCTGCCACGCGACATCACACTACTCATCATCGCGTCGCAGGAGAAAAAATAGGATAGGATAGGCACTACACAATATCCAGGCTCTATGCGGGATTCGAACTCCTAGCCCAGATGAGATGTATTTCAGCACAAATACTCTTAGAACCTGCGCCAAATACCAGGCAGGAATGAAAGGATTATGATTAAAACGCGATACAAGGGAATTGAGAGAACCCCACTATACAGCACATACCTAATTCGAAAGTGATACACCAACAAAGGTGTTCCAGAGCACCCACTGATGTCACTGTAGTGCCTCTGAGCGGGACGTTCTACGGTTCCCAATGGTCCCAATTGATTGATTGTTTAGTGATTCCGAGCACGTGTACTACCAGGGTCATTAGTCCCGTAAGTGTAATGCATGTTTTTTGCTCGGGAGGTGGCGGTGATCTTTCTCTCGCTGCACAGCGAGATCTGGTGCAGACGTAGAGACGGATAGCGATATTTTCCCCAACCAGGTATCTCTCACCAGCAGAGAAGTGCCCCACCCAAGACAAGGCGTTAGCTCCTGACGGGTCTCCCTGCATGTGTGGTAGTGTAGTGCATGTTAGTGTACGTGTGTGTAAGGGTAAGGATAGGACAATAAAGAGGTAAGAAAGAACGCGCGTGGTGCGTGGCCCGTTTGATAGGATACTGCTCCGATATTCGCCTGGTTTTGATCGAAGAAACCATGGAAAACTACCAATCAGAGCAGCCGGTCGCTAGAGTTCTCCTCCAGACAGCGGCTGAATTCGACTTAGCTAACAAGCTAGTGTCGAAAATTCTATCACCGTCGGAACTCGAACCCAGGACCTCCCTGTCAGAGGGACTGCAGCGACATTAGTTGATGCCCTAAGCCATCTCTCCCGGTACCAGTCCCAAGGTGGCAGGATTTTTGACATTAGCTAGACAGCTAGATCGAATTCAGACGCTGATTAGAGGACAATTCCAGCATCCGGCTGCTCTGATGGGTAGATTTTCGCGGTTTCTCTGATTAACAATAGGCGAATGCCTAATCATTTCCCTGAGAAACGGGCCACGCTGTCTTTCTTTTCTTTTCCTAGTTCTATGCTCACCTTCACTTACAAACACTCACTCTGACATGTACTACACTACCACAATTGTCGGGAGCAGCCGGGAGCTTAGAGCTTGGCCCGGCTGGGGTGGTGGCCCTCAGTGAGAGATCTGGTTAGGGAAAACCTCTGCAAGTCGACATGTAGGCCGGACCTGGATCTATCCTTTAAGCGGGGGAAGTTCACCGTCATATCCTGCTATAAAAACATACACTACACTTATGGAAGTAATGATTTTAGCAGTTGTCACTCCCGAAATCACTTAATTAATCAATCGAACGTGATACACTTCGAACCGACGCTGCTAAAGCCCTTACACCTTAGATCTCTACTACCCAGGTCTAACCCTTAACATGCAGTGCAGGTATGGCACCTACAGTTGTGGTCTCTCAAAATATACTCACAATACAAAAACTTCTAATCTTACATTTCATTGACGTCACTATGTTTTCACGGGTTCAAATTTGAGTACGCTTCTTCGATCCCTTTTACTCTGACGTGAGACCGAAATCACTCGGAGAAAAGTCAGTCGAACGAGATGGACCCGTTCCACCCCATTCGCGAGAGATGATTTCGTGCGCACTCTCCGAGTGTTTGTAGTCTTGCACTTCGTTAGCAGCTCGAGAATGATTCTTCGGGATGATTCTTTAACTGTACTGTCAATGCTATTGTGATAGAGAATCCCATTAAATGTTAAAGTCCGATTTAGATGTACAATTTCTTATTTTTCTTTTTCGCACTCTTGATATAGATTTTATGATGCTCCAAATTTGTTCATTATAAATATTCCAAATATTTATTTTAAAATGTATTGCCTAGCCCTATTATTGTTGAAAGAATAGTTTGAAAGGCTTTTGAGTCAATCCTCATATTCAATATTTGTTTTCATATTTCTGAGATCAGTCGTTGATAATAAGTACGAGGTATGGTACGAGGTATGGTTGTGAACTAGAATTTACCATCGCTGCAGACGACACCTGCGATATTCTCTCTTTTCCCGGGACAAACCGCATCGCCCAGGCGATCGTGTAGGCATTCCCCAAGGTGCGACTCTGCGCCTTGGCACTCCACGCCGCTCAGCACGATGGCCTCCGGTTTGCCTCCGAAGAAGTCTGTCTGGACAGCGTCTGCGGCGAACCCCAGCCCCAACTGACGACACACCACGCCAGCTTCGAGCAGACTCCAGCCATCGCCGCAGATTAGACCCCAACCTGAAGACAAAAACAGAGGCGAATTAATTCAGAATGTCCATGCAACATTTCGTAAAAACAAAGATAGAAATGTACGTACTGCTTGAGTTTCCCAGTTTCACTTCTACGCGACCTTCTTCTCGAACACGGCCTCCCACAAGTCTCAACGTCAGCTTCTGATTTGTTACATCCTGTGAAAAATCACTTCTTCAATATTTATGACTGTGTAATCGCGAAAGAAAGTATGATTCAAGGAATTATAAAGCAAAGTCATTATTATTAACTGCGAAATGAAAATAAATATGAAACACACACCAAAAATTCTTAGAGATTAAGTCAGAAAGATGTGGAGTAAAACTAAGATAAGATCAGGAGGAATTCGGATGTAAGACAACTGGACTACAGAGGAATCTAGAGGATGATATCCAGGAAGAATGAAAGAAGAGGATACATCACACATTGCTAATTTGCAAATTAGTAACGAGACTCAAAATAATTCTATTGTCTTGAATGTGTTATTGTCAAATATTATTTTCCGTTCATACTTTTAGACAGTCTTTTGTTCTATCTTTCATACATTTAAAATATTCCATAAAATATGTTTCTGGCTTATCGATCATTGTCTTAGTAGGGTTTGTAAAATTATATAAATCATAAACGTTCTAAAATAAAAGGGTAAAGGGTATACAGGGAAAATAAATCAGGGAAAAGTTACGGGAGAACCATCAACAAGAGATTCTTGCATATAAATAAAATACAAAACTTTTGAATAATGATGTATTGCATTCACTATCTTGAACAGATTATACTGCTACATAATTGTTATTTAGAGATAAATTGAAAGTAGCCGACTAGATTATACTCTTATAAACCGCCATAAACCACAACTCTTCAGTCAGCAGGTGCTAGATTCGAGTGAGTGGAAAAAGTGCACAAACGCAGAAGACAGTAGAACAGATTAAGCGAAGCAGATTTCGTAAATAGACCCTGGATCTAATGTGCCAGATATCTATTCAGCTATTATTATTATTATTATTATTATTATTATTATTATTATTGGCCATTACTGATCACGCTATGCGATTAACGTGTGTATTTTTTTGGGAATCAACGTTTCAGGAGTTTCCCTCAGTACACAAGTTTGTCATGCCTTGAAATGTGAATTATGAGATGATAATAAGATGATGATGGGTGAAGGAACATTCACAAATACGACAAAATCCTCTATTCTGGATTCGAACCTGTAGTCTCCTCACCACAGACGACGACTGCCGCAACCTTCAGCCCAACAGGGCCGACTTTATTATTATTATTGTAATTATTGTTATTATTATTACTATTATTAATATTCAATTTCTAGCTCCTCTTTCCTCTCTTCCCCTAAAATGGGATGAACTTTCACGACTCCAATTTGCAATGTTTATGATTTTAAGTTTATATTCTGCTTTACCCCTTCCCAGCTTAGGAAGCGATTATTTTTATGCCGAACTCGTAGGTGGACAAAGGCGTTGAATTTTTTAAAATATATCCACGTCTTACAGGGTGTAGCCGAGTAAGACGTAAAAAATATCCCCCAAACCAAATCGAAAATCGCGATGCTCATATGAAACAGAATACAAAATGTCACAGATTCGCAAAAATCAGCCTTCTAGAGCAATCTGTTGCAGAGATACGAGAAACTTCTTTTTCATGTCTTATATTCTTCTCAGCTTCTATTGCATGTATCAGGCTGAAAAAATTCAGCCAGAGACGGGGGAAAATAATTAAATTTGTAGGTATTTTTGTCAACCAATTTTTTTGTTCTAATAAAAAATAAGTAAATAATTTTTTGAAGTTGATTTTCCACTTGATATCGATAATGAGTACTGTCTCAGTTACCCCCCTACAGTTCCAAGCCGGCAGCGGTGCAGGTCGGACGTGCCAGCTGCTCCGCTCCGCGCATTATCAGTGAGACCCCGTTCTCCCTAAGTACATCAGTTATTATAATTGGTGATACTCGTGTGTGCCAGCAGTGTGCAGTGAAAAGTCCCGTTTCGATCAGGGCAGCGATTACGGCCCCGCCTCGGTTACGGGGCCACCAAGGAATGGCGGAAGAGAACTACATCAACAGCAGCGGCCGGTGAATACAGCTGGCTGAATCACTGCACCAACAGCAGATGACAACTGCTAATCATCAATACTAGTGCCAAATCCAACAACTGCAACAAGACTCCAAGAGCACAGCTTAAAGTTCAACGCTATAACAATCGACGGCAACTTAACATACGCAGTTATCGGGCAGCAGAAGACACAGAAATGCTACGCCGCGTTCCTCGGAGAACAGTGTAATTCCATGACATCAACAATCAGCGTACAGTGCAATTTCTACTTTCCTACCTGAATGGCAGTTGGTTCGCTCTGCTAAGCGTAAACGACGTGACAGCGGTGGTATAGTAACCCACAGCAGCCCAATACGAGTGAAATAAAACAAAGCAACAGGTTTGAAGCACTGCAAAGCATTATAAACAACTCCGACAACACGGAAAAAGACCCACAAGCAAACGATATGAATGAAGATACAGCTCCAACAAAACTCCGCCGTATATTTATTCTAATGTTGTAAAAGTGCCCTCGTTCACAGAGTCACTACGTGAAGCCATCGGGCAAAATAAATTTACATATAAAATGTACAACAATGAGTAAAGTCACCCAGAGACAATAGAAGCTACAGAGCAGTTATAAAATTCCTAAATGAACAAAAAGCAATGTACGCACACGTACCAACTAAAAAAAAAAGAGCATTTCGAGTTGTCTTAGGCACGTACACCCATCTGTTGAAGCAGAGAGTATTCAAAGTGAACTTGGGAACTTGGTCACAAAGTCAGGAACATTCATAACATTCGCCAAAGATTGACAAAAGACCCAACATGCCTTTTCTACGTCGAACCTAGAACCACGGCGGAATAACGCAGATATCTACAAAATTAACTACATTAATGCATGCCCAAGTCAAGTTCGAACCGCGTATAAAAGAAAGAAATAGTGCAAATGCTATAGATGCCAACAGTACATCATAGTCGTGCGTACTGCAAACGAAAGTCCTAGATGTGTGAAATGCGGAGAAGCACACCTTACCGAAATGTGTAAAAAAGATAAACAAACAAAAACCAACATGTGCACTTTGCGGCAAGGGACACCCAGCAAACTACAAGGCTGCAGAGTATACAAAACTTATCAAAAGAACATACCCAACAATGATCGACAAAAAAACTTCGAGAAAAAACACTACGCAAGAACAGTACAAACCAGCTATGGAAGAGTTCCAGGGTAAAACCTTCTCAGAATGCCCGTCGGATCCCTTGCATAATACTAACGCCCAGACAAAAAATGTTCGATCGTATACCAAGCTTTAACCAATCAATCAAGTAGATATCGGAAATGTATTACATGAATTCATTTTCAAGATTTTGAAAAAAATACTTAAACAGCAAGCAGAACAGATAAGTTCAGTGCTAAATCTGCTCACGATTCTTATTTCAAAATTAAACTGAATTTGTTATAAACCATCGTGGCATTATAAGATAGCAACATGGAATGCAAATGGCCCTCCTACAGCACAAACAAGAATTAATTTTATTCCTTCAGAATTATAAAATTGACATTATGTTAATTAGCGAAACCCATTTCACCAAGAAATCGTATTTCTCAATCCCTGCTATGTGACCTACAACACACAACATCCAGATGGTACTGCTCATGGAGGAACTGCCATTATTATACGGAACAAAATCAACACATCATGAACTAAAAGCATACAACTTTGAATACCTGCAGGCAACCTCTGTCCAACTTCAAGATCTATGCGGCCCAATCAACGTAACTGCAGTATACTGTCCACCTAAGCATACATTTCAGAAGGCAATGTTCGAAACATTCTTCAACAATATCGGAACAAGATTCATAGTAGGTGGCGACTAACAATGCAAAACATGTGCACTGGGGTCAAGACTAAATACACCAAAAGGTAGACGCCTTTACAATTGTGTTCTTAGAAATAATCTTACAACAGTGTCCACTGGAGAACCTACATATTGCCTACTGACAGAAACAAAAATACCGGACCTTCTAGACTTTACATTATTAAAGGTATTTCAGTTGATAAAAATTTCGTATAGAACCAAATCATGATATGTCGTCTGATCATTGCCCTGTAATATGACATCAGCTCGAAGTGTCACAAAATCCTCCACCGCCAAAACTCTACAACAAACTCACAAGACTGGGCAAATTTCGTGAAATTATAGATAGTAAATTACTAGCTAATGTGCCACTGCATAACCCGGAAGATATCGAAGAAGCCACAGAACATCTGACTAACTCCATTCAACATGCCGCTTGGGACTCAACCCTCAAATTGTTCTAAGTAAGAATCAACAATTCCCATAAACATAAGAGAGAAAAATCAGAGAAGAAACGGCGGCTACGACGTATTTGGATGCACACCAGGCACTCTGAAGACAGAACAAACTTCAATAGAGCCTCCAGACAGCTGAAGGAATTATTGAAACAACTCAGAAATGAATCATTTGCACAATATGTACAGTCACTAACAGCAACTGCAACAACAAACTCATTCATCTGGAGGGCTAGTAAGAAAAATTAAACGCCCACAAATTCAATACCACCTATAAGGAAGAAAGATGGAACATGGGCAAGAAGTGCAATAGAGAAAAGTGAACGATTTGCTGAACACTTCTCTTCCGTATTTGAACCTATAACTCCATGGACCAATGCAATTGAGGAAGAAGTACTTCGATTTAATAATGCTCCCTGTCAATTATCGCTTCCAACGCAATCTTTTTCTTCTAATGAAGTAAAGAGAAACTATTCAGCGTTTTTATAAATCCAACAAAAGCCCAGGTTACGACCTAATCACAGGCAAAGTCTTGCAGGAATTATCAACGAATGCTATTGAATTTATCACCTTGCTCTTCAATGCGATTCTCCGACTCAACCATTTCCCTGGACAATGGAAGATAGCACAGATCATAGCGATACCTAAACCAGGAAAACCACCTAACGATGTATCATCTTATCGCCCAATAAGCTTGCTTCCAATCTTATCAAAGGTATTCGAAAAAAATCTTACTCCAACGTTTAAAACCTCTTCTGCAAGAAATAATCCCAGAACACCAGTTCGGATTTAGAGAAACACACTCAACAATCGAACAAGCGCACCGAGTTGTTGAAGTTATTACTCAAAGTCTCGAAAGGAAAAGCTACTGCGCAGCTGTTTTCTTGATATACAACAAGCTTTCGACAAGGTATGGCAACGAAGGACTTCTGTATAAAATTAAATACTACTCTGCCCCATGCGTATTACCTACTGATGAAGTCATATCTATCTAACCGACACTTCCAAATTAAATATCAAGAAGAATTATCATCCTTCCACCCCATTAAATCAGGAGTCCCTCAAGGCAGTGTGCCGGGTCCTGTTTTATACCTTATATACACATATGATCTTGCAAACAAATGAAAGGACTACCACTGCAACGTTTGCGGACGACACAGCAATTTTGGCTGTGCATGAAGACCCATTCCAAGCATCACTCAAACATCCAAGAGCATCTGAACCAACTTGAACAATGGTACAAAGATGGCGTATTCAAGTAAATGCTCCAAAATCTAAAAATATCATATTTACCTTACCAAAAGGAGTGTCCTAAAGTACAGCTAAACAATGTATACCTAGCACAACTATCTTGCATTAAATATCTAGGATTTCATATGGACAAACGGCTTACATGGAGGAACCATATAACTGCAAGAAGAAAGAAGCACAAATCAGATTTCCTCCAAATTATCATGGCTCATCAACCGCCACTCAATCCTTTCTTTAGACAACAAAGTACTCCTCTACAAATCAATAATCAGGCCTATCTGGAGCTACGGAATTGAACTCTGGGATCCGCTAGCAAGTCAAACATTGAAATACTCAGAAGATTCGAATCAAAATGCATTAGAAGACTAGCCAATGCACCGTGGTACGTAACGAATGAAACACTACGTCGAGACCTCAAGATACCCATAATATATGAAGAAATCACTCAGCATAGCACCACCTACCAAGAGCGGTTAAACAAACATCCAAATCCATCAGCCATCAATCTATTGGATAATAGCGAGGAAGTACACCGACTGAAAAGATACCATATTCTGGAATTACCATTCCGCTTCAAACAACCACATGACGATGTACTCTAGCTTCATTTAATGCATAATTAACACATTTACTGAATGTTTGTTAAGAAAACAGATTGTAAATAAACAGAATAATAAAAAAAAAAGTTACCCCCCTAGAATGTGTCTTATGACATTCTATAACATTTTTTTAAAATCTGAACAGATTTTTAAACAATATGGACGATAGTGAAAAACAATTAAAATTAATTTATCAGTTTAAAAATTTTAATTCGCGCCAAAACGTGATTAGATAAAATGTTTTTACCAATATTTAAACGCAGATTCATTCACGCCATATGAACTCGAAATATTATTGGTGTTCCATCGATTATGTACCATACTCAATCAGAATATCCATGGTGGAAAGAGATGGGTGGGTTGTTGGGCATCCGATTTTAGCCTAAGATCTTCAGGAATATGATCGTTTCTTCGAAAATTGTTAAACCAGAACCTATTCAGAAATTTTGATTAGCCTGTTTATAAACGAACGCATAATCTCAATTATTGAAGAAGACAGAGACAATAATTGTCTACAATTGTCTAATTGTCAATTAATAATAAATCTACAACTGAGTAATTTGATTTAAATAATAAACATGAATGGCTCATATATTTAAAATCAAAGAATTAAATCGGAAACAATACATAACAAAAGGGGTTTGATGATTTTACTAAGGGAATATAAACACTTTGTACAAAAAAACAAATATTTGTCAAAAATATAAATCATGCTGGCAACAGACTTTTCAATAATTTAAATACAAATTGTTTAAACATTGATGAATATTTTCAACCACATTTGGTGGCAATATCAAGTTTTTAAACTGATAAAATTGGTTTTAATTGTTTTTCACTGTCGACCACATTGTTTAAAAATCTGAAAAAAAACCTGTGATATAGAATTTTATAAGACATATTCTAGGGGGTAAAATTGAGACAGTACTTCAATATTGTCATGTCAAAAATTATTGTCAAAAATGTATTTCCTGTTTTTTATTTGAAAACAAAAATGGTTGACAAAAATACTTTCAAATTCAACTATTTTGCCCCGTCTCTGAATTTTTTCAGCCTGATGCTTACAATAGAAGCTGAGAAAAAAATAAAACTTGAAAAAAAACGTTTCTCGTATCACTGCAACAGATAGTCCTAGGAGGCTGATTTTATGAGAATCTACGATATTTTGTATTTTGTTTCATATGACCATCGCGATTATCGATTTAGTTTGGGGGCACTTTTCACCGCTTTACTCGGCTATACCCTTTCGTACAAGGATTTGCCCCATAAATAAACCTTTCAGTTCAATATGATGGCTACCTACACTTTCAAATTGCCCTTTCTGGTACCCTTTTTGTATACAATTGTCGATCTGACGTTAATTGATCAGTGTCACAAATTCATGTAAATGATGGTTTTGGACGCGAACATTCTCTATCCACCATCCCGCACCAAGTGCTCTCTTACTTTCTTCATCCTCAAAATATGCTGACTAATCTCGCGATATATGCGATGGAGTACTTCATGTAAGTGTGTGTGCGTAGGGGGACGTAAGAGGACGGGTCAAGAATGAGCAAGGGAAGAACGTGCGCAGTCCATCGCACGTTAATTAGGGCATGTCCCCAATATTGACGTTTGTTTTATCGTAGATCCGATCCGGGTAGCCGTCCGTTAGAATTCCCCTTCAGACAGCGGTTGAATTCAACCTAGCTGTGAAGCTCGTGTCAAAATACCATCACCATCAAACTTGAACCGTAGGACCTCCCGGTCAGTAATGCTTGAGCGACAACATATTTTGTACTGAGCCATTTCAGCCAATATCCTTCTTGATCTTAATATGCACTACACTTATAGAACTAATGATCTCAGTAGAGCGACGCGTAGGGATGGCAAGGTTCCAAGACAAATCAAAGACAATGAGTTGATAGTGTGACAATGAGTTCTATGTGACATCTGCTACACAAAGAACATGAACGCGCTGCAGTCTGTAAACACATATCTACTGAAAGAATCACTACTGTAGGCGGAGAAATGTCTGAATAGATGGAGATATGAAACTTTGACATCAATTTACTCGAAACGGCTCAAATGTTAGATGGAACCTTTTAATTCCAAAGGGTCGAGTTGTCGGGCTGGGAATCAATATTTACTCACTCGAATAAATCCCGGCTTGATGTTGCAGTCTGCCCGTTTCATTTTCACATGCTCCGTTATTCCACGCCAGTAACGCAAGGTGATAATCGGGAGGTCCTAAAGTTTTACTCCCGAGAAAAGATTTTTGACAATAGCTATATAGTGAGGTCGAATTCAGCCGCTATCTGGAGGAGAATTTTATGTGTCGCTGCACTGATTGGTAATTTTTCGTGGTGTCACCGATCTACACCAAGCGAATCCCAGAGCAGCCCCTAACAAATGGGCCACGGACCTCCTGCGATCTTTCATTTCTCTTCCTCATTCTATCCTCACCACTTACTTACATAAACTTACACTTATATGCACTCCGCTACCACCGGAGGGTAGGTCGACACCGGGTATCACAATCCCGCGCTAGAAGAGGAAGAGGGAAGATCACCGCCACCTCCCACGATAAAAAAATGCGCTACACTCACGAGACTAATTCAATCTGCAGCTATTAGCACATCACATCACATACCTCTCCTCTAACTTTTTATATAAATATTATTCAAACACCACCCCGAATTCACGCTGTGCAGAAACCTAACCAACAACACAAGAATAAAAAACAATTATCCATTCCACGTGTTTCTTAAATTGTTTTCTGAAATGGAATAAAGAGAGGTGCCTCACAGGTTTCTTCAACCATTGTATTAGCTGCAAGAATTTAGTTATAAGTTAGTTTCTAAGCCGTCAATGCATGTGACAAAGTCATTGTAATAACTAAACCATGTAATCACCTTCAAATGTAATAAATATATTTCAAAAAGCACTCACGAGACTAATGACCTTAGCAGTTGCGGAATCACTAATCGATCAGCCAATAAATGAAGGGTGAGGTGAGGAGACTCACGAGAATGCGCAGGCGGGGCGAGTCGCGCGGGTGGGGGGAGGAGTCGGGCGCGGGGGTGGTGGTGGGCGGGTGCGGGAGGCACTCCACCCCCGCCGCCTCCGCGTGCGTGCAGTCGCTGCTGCCCCAGCCCTCGAAGCGGCACTCGCCCAGGCTCTTCTCGTCGCCGGTGCACAGCATGTTGTCCATCCAGTACTTACTGTCTACAGAAAGGGAGAGCATGATTAACGGCTGCGGGTTATGTAACACACAATATATTTGAAACACTCATTTCACGCTGTTTTAAAGTTTGAAACTAGAGCTTACAAATGCCCTTAATTTCTTGCATTATTTCGGTTTTTTAAACAACTCTGAAGTTTTCGAAAATTCAGCGTTTACTCAAAAATTCAGAGTGCACCAAGCTCTTTAGCGACATTTACGCTACCCGAGGAAGAAATTCAATAAAAAATATACTCATTTTTAGAAATATTTGATTTTTTCCTTTTTTAATAGCGTGGCATCGAGATAAATGGCTAGTAACACTACTACACAAAAAAAATTAGTTGAACGTAAAAAAATGCTTTTATTCCAAACCTTGAAACTGCTAAAACCTAAACTAAAAGCTCAAAAACTAATGAAACTGCTTCTAGTCCAAATCAACCTGCAAGTGAATACATTTGGAAGAGTAAAATAATTTAATTACCATTGATATTGTTTTAGAAGATCAACGTTTTCACATACAAGCTTTCACATTTTCGAATTCATTAAACCCTGATTGGATTGAAAAAAGAAATTAAAATATTCTGGTGGAATTGTGCAAGTCTCCCATTAGTGAGAATATGGCGTTTCGAAGGTTTCACACAAACCAATTATTCGCAGTAATGCTGGAATATGAAAATTTCATCAAGGATATACCCCGCAATATGCGATTGTTGTAAATTTTGTCGTAAAGATAATGAAACAAATTACAATGCATTTGTAATGAAATATACTTGTAGATCATCAAGATTTTAGTTTGGCCCATAGTACAAAAAATGAATAAACTTCTAATTTTTATATAAATTAACTTATTAACATTAGTAATTGCATTCGTCTTTAGAAACATGTTCACCCAACAAATCCTTTTTTAATTATCACTGGTGTGCAAAACATCATGCCATGTTGTATAGGTCCAAGCAATGAATTCGAGTGTAGAGCAGAGTTAAATTAAAAACCATTTTTTATAAATTTCAATGAATATCTTCCTTGTTCCCTTCTCTCCCTTTACACAAACTACAAAGACGAGAGCTTAGAGCTTGTCCCACTGGTCAGAGATACCCGGAGGGGAGAAACCCGCAAATCTGCGTGTAGGTCGCCGCCCTTCCCCACCGTCCTGCGGAAGAGGAACGCCGCCACCCAAGGGTATCTCCTGCACTGCGCTTTCGGGAGCAACGAGCCCAGAGGCCGCCTTCGGAATCAACCGTGAATGGCGCAGGGCGCGCGGGAGGTACTCACGGCGCGCGGGGCCGAAGTGCGAGTTGTGGGTGGCGCGCGCGGCGCCCTTGAAGCCCAGCTGGCGGCAGGCCACGGCGGCGTCGCGCTCGTCCCACTCGTCGTCGCACACGCCGCCCCACCGGCCCAGGTGGAACACCTCCACGTTGCCTGCAGCACGCGACAACGCCACGTTAGCAACAATGACAACAACAATAATAATAATAATAATAATAATAATAATAATGACAGACCCTAAGATATGCTCAAGAGGGAGCTCGTTGCTGTAGTAGATTTTATATTCAACTGACACATCATTAATCGTGAAGTAAAAGAATAATAATTTAATTTTTTTCGTCACTGGAACCCCTTAAGTACATTATAACATTCAATACAAGAATGCCCATTTACAATATTTAAGAAAAGCTTGTGACTCTCTTTTTGTTTATGTAGTGTAGTCTACATGGCTACACTTTGATGTAACATTCATTATCATGTATTTCGATGTTATTCTTTACCTATTACACTAAGCAGTGTTTCCCATTAATATTGATACCAAAGGTACATCTGATTATATAACTAAACATTATTACACACGTTATATATTACATTATTACTTTGGCAGTTAAATTATATATTTAGCTACCAATGCATCCCGGCATGGCCCTTGGACGAATAAGTGTATCAAGAAAAATCTTAAACGGAATGGCTATACGGCCGGACAATATTCATCCTGAAATGGAAACCAAAGAATAGTGGGAATACATGGAAGAGTGAAAGCAAAAATGTGCAGAAGAAGACAACGTAAAAATATAAATGAATAATTCTGAAGAAAGGACAAGGCGTATATACGTGACGGGGACAGACATTCATGAAAGATAAACGAGGAGCAATATAAAGAAGTGCAAAGCTCCGCGTGGCGTCACCAACGCTTTATACAGTATATGTGTATTTGTTAATTTAATATTTCGTTCCAATTATCGAAAGGTTCAAAAGTATAAAATTCATTAGAATTCTTCCAACAACTCCAAAAATGACGTTAAAAAAGTTTTTTAAGTCGACCAAAAATAGATCTTCAAATAAGGCTACGTTAAATTTGTCAAAAATTCGAGTATTTTTTGCGTCAAACGTAGGCAATTTGAAAGAATTTTAGACAATTATTTACTAAAGAGCTCCACCAATTTTTTTCTTTAATTTTTTTCCTCATGTGTTACAAAGAACGACAAAACAGTGGTGCTTGTTCCATTTTCCGCGAACTCTTATTTCCGAAATTTGCAACCATCAGAAAAATTAATTTTGCAAAAGTACAATATTAGTTTTTGAGTTAAATGAAATCTGTTCAAAAACTTAGTTCTTTAAAGAGGGACATACGCATTTTTTAAAGTATGAATAGTTTAGAGAAATTGTGCAAATTTGAATTTCCAGTGCTCCGTTTTCTAGTAATATATCATCTAGTAATATATATTCGATTCGTTTTGTAGTAATATATCGACTATGGCATGCCTGCCGCGACACAGTATAACTGTAGCAGTTTTTAGTTGCCGAATTAGCGTTAATATATTGGCTTCAAAAGAACGCCAAATATAATGCACCTAATGTTCTACGCATTGTAATGAGTTTTACAAGTGATGACTGAGACATGTTAATATGGTCAGAAATTGCTGTAATTTAATATTACGTATCGGTTCACCCACCTTTTTTCTTGTATTTGAGCAAAAACTTAGCAGATTTCAATCACAAATGTCGTTTTGAACATAAACATTTAGTAGTAACATCTACATCTTGGCATTTAAAGGACTTAAGCCTTTAAGAGCAAAGATAGTTATAAATGGCCTCATAATTGAACAAATTAATGAACTTAAGTATTTTGGATATAATTATATTAATATTAATTACATTAAATCAAGAGATATGGAAATAAAGCTAAACAATTTCGCACACTTATCTGAAACGTTACAACCCGCTTTAAGGCATAATGTGCAAAAAGAAACTACTTATATTTTACAAAGTTATGGCTTTGCTTACAAAGTTATGGACTGCTTTATGAAAGCGAGAGGGTACATTAACATCAGATCAATTGCGAAGAATTGAATCTGTAGAAATGAGATTTCTTCTTTTTGTCGCACGATATTTGCTATTTGACCATAAAAAGTGTAGATATCAGAGAAGGTTCAAATATTGAGCCTGTTATAGATATCAAGAAATACCGAGAAAAGTGGAAAGGTCATGACCTGAAAATTTCAGAATATAGGACAAGTACAATTATTCTGCAATAAACACCTAAAGGAAAAAGAAGTGTAGGACGTCCCTTGAAGAGGTAGCATCAACAATTTCGGGACGGAACTGGTCTAATCCTTGTTGTCGACGATGATGATGATGACGACGATGTACATATTTGCATATTGTTGCAAATATTCAGCAAGCAAAATAAGGTGTCAGATCAATTACATGACTACTTCACAAATTAATAACATTCAGCATTTCCAACTGATTTTTCTTGAAATTTAAATAACAATTATAATCTGGTTATTCAGTTAGGCATACTTTACCCACGCAAGACGAATGTGTACATCTGCTACTTTAAATCTTCTCCAGCTTCCTACTTCCGTCAGTGCGTCATCTGTTTCCATTTTAAAATCTTCAAGGTCATGTCTGTTTCTGTCTCTCTAAAATGTTTCCACTTGATGAATTTTATTTGTTTGTTTCAAGAAGTTTCCTCTTTTTATTCTTCCTCTGGAAATAGTTCTCGAGGACTTCACGGTACATCCATTTTATGAGTGACTACCTCAGCCATCATGCAAAATTTTAATTCTCTAAAGAGTTATTTTGAGAATATAAATTAACTCAGTGTATTTTGAAGGCAATAACTGAAGTACTGTATCATGCTTCATTTCCACAACAGAAGCATTGTCAGCAGCAAGGAAATAAGCCGAAGACCTGGGGGTGAGGGGTTTGCTTAATGGGAAATGAGGATGGTCGAACGAAACACTCAAGAGGGAAATTCTTGAGATATGTTGATATGGTCCTTCAATTACCTCCAATAATTTTCTAACGAACGCTGAAGGCGAACCTAGTAAACATTGGACCAGAGTAACTGAGCATCCCATTCTCTCTTCAAGACAAAAGTACAATATTGCCTAAATTGGATGAATAAATTTCATTTTGTAAAAACAAATTTGTGCAAATTTCAAACAAATAATCTTACGAAAAATGCCATTGAAACTTACATGACTGCTCGAGACCCTTGAGATGTCTTTAGACTGATAGATCTAATGCAAGATGTGTAAAAAGCACTGTTATGTCCGAAACAAACGTTTATCCGGGAAAATATTTTTAAATCAAAGAATTGAAAGTAAAGTTGTTTTTTTACAACCTCTCCCAATAATATTTTGTTAATGATTAATGGAAATGTAAAATGTATATAATTTCATAATTTATAATCATTTAAAGGTAAGCATATTGTGACGTCATGGATACTCACAGCGACCACAG